TAGCGAGGCAAGGCTGGCTGTCAAATCGGCTTCGCAGCCAAAGCGGTAAACCTCCGCAGTCGCTTAGTTGCATCCAGCACCACAGCAGGATTTTAGCACGCACAATTTTTTGCGAAGAGATGCTGAAGTTGAGGACTTCGCATGAGCCCGGATGTCGAACGGGAGCTCAAGAAGCTTTCCCGAGAGGCTGCGCTGTGCGGTGAGTAACTCATTTTGTTGCGCGGCGGCTGGCTTTGTCCAGGTGGACATTTGGAAAAAACTTCCCGGCCATCCCAACATTGTTCAGCAGCTGAGCGGCAGACAAGCGCTGTCACTGTCGAACACCGCCTTGCAGCTCCTGCCTGTGTGAAGCCTCGAGCCACCAAGTGTGGCGTGCCTTTCGCAAATCCGCACATGACTGCACCAGACTCGAACTTTTGAAGCATTTCGAATCCATGTCCAGTTTAGAGCCAACCGATGTGAGAATGATGTTGGTAAGGCTGGTCGACTCGTTTCAAGAAGGCTCTTGGTTTCTCATGGTCTTGGAGTTGGTCGGCGGTGGCGACCTTTTTACGGCTTTTTGATCGGCATTATTTGGTTGCATACAGGCGAAACTCAGGGATATGTCGTTTTCGTCATGCTCGAGATTGTTGAGGTCCTCACGTCCAGATCGCCATCTCGATTCCTGGACCGTGAAGCCGCCTACATTGGAACGCAGCTCGTGCAGGGGCTCGCATTTCTTCATAGCCAAGGCGAGCTGTCAAACGAGGGGGTTCATTGCTTGTTTGACAGTTCTGCCCTGAAAGGTGTCATACATCGAGACCTGAAGCTGGAGAATGTGCTGGTTGCCTCCCAAAGACGATCTTACACGAACGGTCCTATGCTGTACAATGTCACTGGGCATTCGAGCATTGCAATTATGTGCACCTGCTTGTTGCATCCCGCAGCTCAAGCATTCGACGAACCAATTCGCAGAGGTCAAAATCACGGACTTCGGGCTGTCGAGAGCCTTTGCTGCCTTACTGTAGGCCACCCTGTCCAACAGCATTTCGTAGGTTTGGAATGGAATTAGGATGAATCGAATCAGGGATCGCCAGCCACTTGGCCACTCCTTGACTGACACTCGCGTACACTTCGGCTTGTCTTGAGGAGTTTTGGATCCCAGTGCGTCTGATGCTTTGTCGACTGTCGGGACCCAGCCGTACTGTGCGCCAGAAGTTCTTGGCAACTCGGATGCCAGTTCCAAGTGGTGTTGTCCGCATCTTCGGCCCTTTGCTGACAACCCTGAACCAGGTGAAGGGTCCCACAGCTTCAGTGCAGACGTTTGGTGTTTGGGAGTGCCTTGGTTCGCAAGTCTTCGATGAGCCTCTTGTGAAGGAGTGTCTTTAGATGCTGAGACGACGTGCAAACGTTTTTTGTATTCTTGTGGTAGCATTTCTGCTTCTATTGTCGGTATGTGGCAAGTTTGGTGAGGTGCTGCTGTTTGTCTTGATCGCCGGGCATTTTCCGTACAGCAGCGTGCCGACAGAGCAGCCAGACCTCGACTGCATAGTGGACAGCATCTCAGCGACAGATGCTGCGAAGGCACTGGTGCCACTACCTAGAGTTACAAAACGGAGCGCGATAACGGTACTATGAGGGCACTGTACTAAATGGGGTTGCTACAAGGGTTACTGGTTAAAACCGTACCTGGCGTATGGGCCTTGCACGCAGGTGAAGCTGAACCTCAGCCCTGTCTGTAGGTCTTGCTGCTTGGACTCCTGCAGATACAGCCGCAGATGAGGAGCCACCTGCACCTGTGGCAGAATATAGATACAAACGCTTGCTGTTTTGCTCCAGACGTCCGTGGGTTGGAGTCGCCGCAAGCGCATGGTTAATCAGACTCGAAGCAGTTGAACCGCAAAGACGATGATCGCTTGCATTGGCATGGGCCACCCGATATACGATTATCAGCAAAGCGGGGAGTATGTAAATCGGAACGTGCTTGGCGATTTAACTAGTGGCGTGCACTCAGGCCAGACCTCATCACCCACCAGTGGTTCCAAGAAGAGGATGAGCTGCAGGCTCAGCCTTTGAAGCGGCATCGAACGCAGCAAATGAGCCGCTTGGCCGCAAGCGCGTAGATTGCTTTCTCGAGCTTTCCTGGGCATCCAGACACCCAGTTGCAGGCGATGTTGGCAGCGCGCCAAGAAGTCTTCAGGAAATACAGGCCATGCGACTGCCTTCAAGACGGGTCCAGGAAAAAATCATTGACCTAAACACCCGATGTGTTAGCCGCTGCAGTAGCCTACCACTGTTGGCAGTGCGCACAATGGGGGTTTAGACCGGCAGCGGCAGCAGTTCCTGTAAGCACCATGGGTTCCTGCGACTGGTGCCCATGGAGCAGTTCGACAGGAAGTGCCACAGGCAATCGAAGAGGCGGAGACTTCGCAACACTCGCCATGCGATTCACCTTTTCCCTGTGGCTTGCTACATGGTGGTTGGGTCTTTGCAGTCCACCGTTGTGTTGTCCAAGTACCTGCTTTAGTGGAAAGGCCAGTCCTTTTGCTTCCCAAGGTTCGCCGTTTCCGTGCGAGTCCCCATTGCCGTGTCCATCGCCTTTGCCCGCAGCTTCGCCATTGCCTGCAGCATCACCATTGGACATGGAAGGCATGCTTACCGCTCAAACAGCATCGGTCAGTGCTTCCTGTTGTCCTGGATGATTGGGGTCTCAGAGCCATCATTCATGTCATTGCGTCGGAAGGAATTGCTTCGCCGGGTGTGTGGACACCATTTGCAGTGGAAGCCACTGTGAAGCTGAGTGAAGTGCAACCACCCGCCGACTTGCAACCGGATTACATGCAGGCTGCCCGTTTGCCGGCAGATGCATTCTCACGTGCCTTTGACTGCCGCTGCCAGTCTACCAACCACGGCTCCCGTGCCAGGTGCATGTCATCATCCAAGATCGATATGCAGGTTTCATCTTGGGGAAGAGTGGTACAAGAATCCAGAAAACGGCATTCAAGAGCGGCTGCAAGGCCTCTCTTCTGTCTTTTTTGTCGTCTGTCTGCGTGCTTTATGTCTTGTTTTGGTTGCTTGTTGTTGTACCTACTGGGGCAAAAGCGCTGCTCAAGGTTTGGATGACTTCACGAGATGGCAGCCAGGATCGTCGCGTCATCATCATTGGTGGTTACAAGTAGCCTGGGTGCGATTGAACCAGTCTTGAACCCGTTCTAGTTGGTCGAGATGCCATGCTTGACCGTGATGCACAACGCAAACTCTCAGACAATTGCCAGGCAATGCAAGCTGGCACAGCAGATGATCCACGAGCAGTTGGCGAGCCTTGTTGGAAGGCTTTGATGCTAGGAAAACGAGGCTCTTCTGTTGCTGTAGCCAAGGACTGCGATGCACATGGACTGGCAAGATGCCGAAGCCGACACTGTCCTCCTCGTCCGTGCCGAAGCAGCCGGTATGGTGACCGGGAAGCAAGGCATGGATCCCCGCAAGTTGCACAAAAAGTGAGAGCTGACACCACTCGCCATGTTTGCAGGCTTCGTGTTGAATCAGATCCGGAAGCAGTCCGGAGCACAAGTTCAGTTGCTCCGCGATGAAGTGCAAGGAACACGACCTTGTGTTTCAGCTGCATGCAGGCGGCAGGCTGCACAAACACATTCGACTGCCGTGTTCGTGTGCGTTGTAGCTTGTCGTCTGGAAGTGTCTTCACAGGCTTTCCGGTGTTGTCATGAGAGCAGCTCCGAAAACGGCGCAGCTACAGTGACCGGATTCAGGAATTCAAGCTCGCTGCTCAGTTGGGCTCAGGCATTATCAGCGGCACTCTCCACAGCATCCTCAGGGCTCAGAAACATATCTTTGAATTGGTGTCCCTCGGCAAAAATGCAGCGACCAGCCCTATGCATAATCTCCTTCATATGCGGGCAGCACATGCAGGCGAGCCGCGCCGGTTGTGATCCGCCCTACCACTCCAAATTTGCGACCGTCACAGCAGCCGTTTGCCGGATGAAGTTCTACGGATTGTTTTGTCAGACCTGGACCGCAAGTTCAACCAGGCAAACTGTGGGAGGCACTGCCAGGACGACATGCTAGGCATGTCATGAGCCAGATGGGTCTTTTCCTTAAGCCTTAAGCAATGTCGAGCTCCTCAGAGAATCCGGAAAGATGCTCTAAAGATGCTTCTAAAGAACTCGTTTGCGGGAGAGTTCGAGTTCAGTGAAAGGATTCTCAAGTGCTATAGGCTTAGCTGGCTCGGAAGACCTGGGCATGTGGAAGTCCTCGGCCGGGGAACTTTGCCAAGCCAGTCATTGTTGCAACTCGTCAGAGCTTCGAAGGTTCGAAAGCTTGGTTGAGGGCAGATGGGGGCTTCGAGATTCTGCTTTCTAACTGCTTTGGGTTGAAAGCTTGAAAGCTGGAGAGTGGGAGCATGGCCATAATGCCCGAGGCCGAAACGATGAGGTTTTCAGTCCAGCCTTCCCACAGAAAAAGTCGCCAGTCTCATTTGTGGGTTTTGGCATCGGATCATACTCCCCTCTCGCCCTGGTTCCGTCGTGTGCCCCCTGCCTGTAGAATTGTGATACAGTGCGCCGTAGCGTTCTTAAACGGCACTGTGCCGCTGGCCGATGGCTGCGCTCTTGTGTTGCAGATTGGAAGGTGCAGTCCATCCTCTTTGCATGTGCAGGCGGCTTCTCGTGTAGGTTCCACAGCGCTGTCAGACATGGCTCGTTTCTGGCACGAGATTTCCGCCAAGCGTGCTGTCAGCCTGTAAATAGTAGTGACATGCATTGGCAAAGAGATTCCTTCGAGTGCCCTGTACAGATCCTTGCCGGCCAAGGCATTAATTTTGTTGCTCAAAGGAAGCAAGCTCAGAGGGACGGGGGATGATGGACATGTGTAACGAAAAAATGTGATCACCGCTTGCATGGCATTTTGGGCGGCAATTTTCCGAAGCCAAGCCTCTCCTGGTTGTGGGTGGCATCGGCTCAAGATGAGAAGCCTGGTTTCACAGGATTGGCGTCTTGCAGAGACGAATGCAGAAGGATGGCAGTGACGGCACTCCTTCCCATCACCTCGAGGCCAAACTGGAGCTTCGAAGCCAGCTCGAGGAGGCAACGTCCACCACCACCGCAGCACCGCTGAGTGTGACTGATCCACAGCCGTTTTCATGCAGTGCTGGCAGTGCGGATGCAGCAACCACCGTAAACTTGGATGGCTCGAAGACTCTGTCTCCTTCACCACGCTCCCGTCCGCCAGAGGCTGTGCAGCGCGAAGAAGAGCTCAAAGAGACCTTCCGCAGGGCAGCTGAGAGAAGCAGCTGGAATCCCGACTATCAGTCCGATGAGAGCTGGAACGGACGCCACCATCTGTCATATTGCAATGATGAAATGAGTCAGAACTGCAGATGTTACTTTGATCGATGGTTGGATCACAAGGAACTGTTGCCACAGGATGCCATCCAGGTCCAAAAGCCAACATGGCGACTAGAACCAGATGGTGTCAGCCCTGCGCAGCGCAAGGTGGAGAGGCAAGCAACATGCATCTACTCTGTAACTGGGCCTGGCCTACGGGCACCTGTGCCGTCTGCGCCTCCGGTGGATTCGGAGGCAGCCGCGCTTTCAAAGGAGAACGTCCTCAAAAGACGTGCCATGCGGGTGTCGCGCGAACGACCATGGGAACTGGCACCGCCACCTTTCTTTCTCTCGCAAAGGCGTGCAATGTCCCGGAGCTCATCGGATTGTGGAAAGGTGTCTGCAGGGACGCAGACAGAGCTATTCGGAAAGGAGCTGCCGAACTGGATGAAAGAACAGGCCTGGGATAGCCACCATCACGCCACCTGGAGCAACTTCCAGAACCTCCAGGGCGCGATCTTGAATCCAGCACCAGTACGGTCGTATTTCGATCGCCCGCGTGAGCCTGATGTCGGGGCACGAAGTGCTGAAAAGAAACCGTTGGATCCCAAGGAGGGTGCTGTGCGTATTTTGCCACTCTACCGGCTGGAACCGTTACCTGGAATCGACCACGTGGAAATCCCAGAGCGGGGCCTGTGGCCACGGTTTGAGCCCCTTGAATCCCGATCAGGGGTGCCCTTGCAGAAGCGTCCCGAGATCCTTGGCATCAAGCCACGTGGCTAATTCGTAGCTACGCTTTTGCTGCTCGCCCCCGGATTTATATTATCGGGTTCTTTGGGGTGGGGGAGGCATGATGCGTCACCAGAGTTCAAGCACAAGTCGACGTGGAGCTGCCCGTCGGAACCTTACTCTGTCCGAATGTCGCCAGAACCGGTTCGATCTTGCGGAGCCCCTATGTTCCCAGGTCCCTGCTCACAACATCTCCGAATCCAGAATTCGTCGAGAAGCAGCAGAGCTGGAATACCCGACACCAGTGCCTGGAATGCACAGATAATGCACAGTGCCAGTTCCATTCAGTTGCTGGGACTGAGGATAACTTTCCAGAACGAGGTAACCGGGCTCAAATTTCATGAAGCGTCGGAGCAAAGATGCGAACACCTGGTGGCCTAAGGAGGTGTCGAGGCTCGACCGTTCCTACTTTGACCGATTCCGGGAGCATCATGAGCTTCGCGCCCCGGATTCGCCCCGCCTCGCAGACTGTTCTGCAACAGGGCTGCATACTCCCTTGAGTGCGAAACTTCCGGGCAAGTGTTTTCTTCTGAGGTCTGGAGTCTTGGTAAGGACGTCTCGACCAAGGCCAGGCCGGCCAGGGTAAAGTCGGCGCACAAATGTCTGCCGCGGCTTCCGATGCCCGAGGAGTCCGCGAGGACGATCTTGAGCAACAGCGATGACCGCTTTCGCAACGATGGCAAGTGGATGTAACCCAGCCTGATGCATCTTGCTACCTTTGACTTCCGTTTGTAGGGGATTGTTTCTAAAGAAAGACACAAGAGACAATGTCACTTCTCATGCTTTTATGCATGTTCGACAGCAGATTTGGACAAGCCCGGCTCCACAGAAAGAGGAGGTGCCGAAGGCACTGGGTGGGGCAAGGTCATCCTCAAAACGAAGGGTAGGATTGGAGGAGAAAGGAAAGAGAGTGCACGTATGTCCCCTTGGTAGATTTGAACTTGCGAGCGCATGATCAGCTTGGGAAGTAAGCAACAGAGCGGGCAGAGCGGGAAAGAAAGACAGGCTGCCGGCCGGCCTTGAACTAGGTAACTAGTAGCTAGCTCTGATGTGTTTGAGCCCGTTGCGCAGAGAATTTGCAGAGAAGCAGAGATCAGCGCCATAGACAGAGCTGGTTAGCGGATGCTGGCTTCCTTGCGCGCAAGAGACTGAAACGCTTGCCTGCTGTTGAAGGGTTGCTTTTGAGCTTCAGGCATCGCCACCAGCTTGCTTTTGACAACAATGGTGGAAGGCGGCAAATTCCGAGTCAAACTCTTGGTCTCCTTGTTTGGTGACGGAGGATGCCTGTCCAACGAAATTTGCGATGTTACTTCGATCGCTGGCGTGACTTTCCCTCGGAGGTGGTGCATGCTTGCCAGAGGGGTAGTGGCGCATATGTGATCAAACGCTGCTTTCGTATATAGCTCAAGCTGACATGTGCACGCTGCACAGGCCAACCCGGATCCTGAAGATGTCCTCCCAGAGGTCACTTGACACAATGCTTGGCATGTGTACCAAGCACGACACCCACATAACGAGAGCCTCATGATGGGTCTAAGGATCCACGCCGTGGAACTTTCACTTTCATGACTGAGTCATCGAGAGGGAAACGACGCTGTTTCCCGGCTTGAGGAGAGGGGCCGTAGGCACAGAGAGCCATCACCTTTGCCTGGAAGGCAAGCTGAAGCATTCGCCGGAAGCCGGCAACTTGAAGGTGGATGTATGGAGCCTGGTTGAGAAGCCATCCAAGCAGAAGGCAATTGAGAGTGAAGCCCCGCAAAGAGTGTTTGCTGTCATGGTGTCCCGACTTGTCAGGTGCCCAGAGTAGAAGAGACCTTCCGAGGCTGCAATTCCGCATCGCACTTGAGGGTGGTTGGCGAGTTCTCTGAAAAGTTGATACTTGCTGTGAAATGACCAAGGCACAGGACGAGAAGCGGCGGTCAAAGTGGCTGGCCAACCATCATGTGGTGCACCTCGGCGCATGTCGGCAACATCGGGCCGCGGCCTTGCAGGCTTCTTTCGTTGGGAGGTGAGTAGATTTGCGGTTACATGAATGACATATATATATATATACATACAGAGATTCTTATACTATATATATATATATAGATCCGTTAATATATATATATATACATACACATACAGATATAAAATGAGTGGTACAGACAGTACGCCGTTCTCTATATAATATGCATATACATATATACATACATACCTACATACATACATACATGCATGCATGCATGCATGCATGCATGCATGCATGCATGCATGCATACACACACATATGTATATATATATATGTATATATATATATGTATATGGGTGGAGCGGTCTTTTCCATAAAATTATTGAGGTTATTGCGACATGGTTCAGGAATAAAGGCCAGTTTTATCAGAGACAAGCGCATTATCATTCACATGTGCAGGTTTTGTTTAGGGTTTAGGGTATATATAGAGTTTAGGGAATCCGTTGCAAGAGTCCAAAAAATCTTTTCCATGTGCTAAAAAGCCCCGCGCTTTGTGCCTGATAATCCCGATCTGTTCTCGGTAAACTCGGCGCAAGTGCTTGGTAACGCCGTTCCATGTGTTGAACCATGGAGCCTGAAGAAACCATCACCCTATGTACATATGTATGGCATATATATATATATACACACACACACACATATATATATATATAATATGGACGGATGCATGGATGGATGGGTATGTATGTACATATGTATGAATACATGCATATATGCAGACATGCATATACACACATAGATACACACATAGATACACACATAGATACACAGATACATGCATGCATGCATGCATGCATATGCATGTATGTATGTATGTATGTATGTATGTATGTGTATATATATATATATACATATCCATACATGCTTATGCATACATCCACCCAGTCAGCCAGCCAGCCAGCCTTCCATCCATCCAGCCATTCATCCACCATCCATCTGTCCATCCATCCATCCAGCCATTCACCCAGCCATCCAGCTGTCCGTCCATCCATCCAGTCATCCAGCCATCCAGCCATCCAGCCATCCAGCCATCCATCCATCCATCCAGCCATCCGGCCACCCATTCAGCCAGCCAGCCATCCATCCAACTGTCTACGAGGGGGAAGCACCAAGGGCAGCTGGTGGTGCATCCGGTGATAAGGGAGCAACACTACAAAAGCTTCCCCAGGCCCAGGCACACAACTGATGACTTTGGTTTCGAGTCCCTGTCGGCCTTGTTGCTGCTGCAGATGCAGTTGCGGTTGCTATGGCACAGTTTGCAAATAGTCATGTTTTGTGCTCTCTGTGCTTGTCTTTTGTGTGAGGGGCTTGCTTCTTGGCATTTCGTTTCGGCCAGGGGCTTTTGACACGGTGCTGGCGTTCTGATGGCTTATGTTGGAGGAGTTTCAATCGGAAGACTTCGGAGGTGGACGAAGTTGGATGATGTCGTCGATGTGTAGTTGACCCATCTGCGTTTCCCCAAACGCCTTCTCCTGCGTCAAGTCGGTGCCATGTTGAGGGCCCCAGTCTCCATTAAGAAATGGGTAACACCGGCAACAACAGCCTGCCTTCTGAGTTTCAGCGCCGCCAGCTGAGGTTTTGACCCGCTCGTCTACGCATGTGGGGTGTCAGATGTACAGGATGAGGAAATCGGGGAAAGGGGCTGCAGAGTGCAGCCGGGATGTGTCGGCCAGGGTTTGAGGCACGGCTGCAACATCAGCAAGGGCCATGGCGAAGCCATGTGTTTCTTGAATGTAGCAACCGGCAGGATACCTGAACAATCGTGGCCTGCTGCAGAACAGACGTCCCTGTGCTTTCACGTCTGGGAGTCTGGGCATCATTCCGCCTGCTTCCGGTCTTCGAAGTGCAGGGTCGCGGCCGTAGGCAACCAAGATGGAACCAATCTTTACCTGCTGCCAACTCTTGGCTCAGACACGCCGAATAATCGGAGTTCCGTTGAGAAATCGCTGCCGGCTCCGGTCTCACTCCCTTGCACCTACAGCCTGTGCAACTCTAGCCCGACGCGTGCTTTCACGGACACTAGAGCTGCTTTGTGTCGTCACCTTTTGCGATTGGAGCGATGGCGGCTGCTTGCGCTTGTGGTCCTGTGACCACCTCAAGCTGGTAAGCAAGACACAGTTGTCTTGCTTCTGCGGTAATCTTGTATGGCGATGTTCATGACATGATAGCAGCCTCTCGCACGACAGCTTGCTTGCCAAGGCACCAGTGCTTCCTAAGCGCATAGGAAACCAGGACTTGGAGGTGGGGTTGATGTGGTGCTTGCTAGCTTGCTTGCTTGTGTCACTGCAGCCTGGTTTGGCCGCACAACTGCCTCTTCCTGTTATCAGCATGTGGCTCAGCAGCTGCTGGAGAAAAGCTGACTCATGCCTCAGAAGCCTTAGATGCTCGCGATAGAAAAGTCGTCCGTTGTTCCACGACGCAATGATTCCCTGCTTTGAAGCGACAAGCCGAATATCTTCAGGCACAGGGTTGCAGGATCTCAGGTCTCAGGAGAATTTTAGTGTGCAGAGTGATGGATGAGCTTGCACAGGCCTCTGCAATGCTTGCGGCCGTGCTTGTTCGGCCGCTCCGGATTGTGTGGAGCCACACGGCGGCAAGGTAAGAGCGGCGGTTGCTCCCGAGTCTGGTCCTCGCTGAGGGCTTGCTGCCAACCAGCCCTGAATGTCTGCAACAGACCTTTGGGATGCTATGTCGTGGCTGCTCTGCTCTTAGTCTCTGTGGACGTCGCTTGCATGACGTGCTAGACAGCTAGGCAGCTGGGATCACTTGCAGGCCTTGGTGACAAACCTTCCAGCGGCTGTCTTGGAATCTTGGCAGCAGGAAGTGCTTTTGTCACTGGAGGGTAGGGATAGAGCCGAGGCCTACCAAAGCTCCACATATTCCCAAGTGCGCTATTGCAAGTCTGCTCCGGTGACTTGGCATCGCCAGCTGCCTCGCATGACTCTTCAATTTCCGTGGAGAAGATGTTTCTAGTCCCCTGCAGTGTTGAAATACCGGGTCGGTTGATCATGCACAAGAAGCATGAACACACATCTCAGTGCGAATGCTTGTCGATGTAGGTCCTCATATCAGTCGCTCCCAGGTCTTGAACTTCTGCGACGGCGCGATTGTACTGAGCTTGACCAGACCTCAGTGCCAGCGCGAAGTTCCTCACAAGTCTTGCCAAGAGCTACAGCTGCGGCCAAGAAGAGCCTTCGGCTCGTAGGCTTCCGCTTCAGTTGACACGGGCCAGGACCAATATTGCATTCGCGTTCTACATGCAATGGAGACTTGTGGCAGCACTCCGATCTGGGGACGAAGGTGGTGCAAGAACCATGCTGCAGCAGGCAACCTGCTCCGTGAAGCACTAGCAAGCCACTCCTCGGTTTTGCATTGCAGACGCAGGCAAGCGGCATTGTCTTGTATGATTTCGTCTTCTGCATTTACGTGTTCCTCTTTGCTGCCGGAATAATATATTGCTTTTTTGGAATAGGGAGGCTTGGCTTGAACCCGCACGTACACACCAGCAAGCACCTCCTTGGTGCTCTGCCTGGTTCATCACACGTCTAAGGTGGTGGCAATCCTGTGATGTGGACTCCTGGAATCCCTTCTGGGCTGCGTTCCTCATCCTTTTGTTTGGGCTGTGGAGCGGCATCTTCAGCTGCTGTTGGGGTAGCCAGCTGCAAATTGACATCGTGCAACGTCGTGTTTTGCTGCATCTAGCGAGGCCATGTCCCTACTAAGCTAGCATCCTTTACTCTGTTGCAGGCCTGAGCTTGGGCTGCTGGGGTGTCCTGGAAAGCCTCGGCGTTTCGTCTTCCGTAGCCCGCCTTGTCTTCGGTGCAGCCGACGGACCTTCCACTACGCCTGCGACCGTCCAACCTCGGCAATCCTGTCGAGAGATGAGCCCTGGCAGAACTTAATACAGCGATGCGAAGGCGTCGGTTGCGCTGGGCAGAGCGATGCGAAGGCTGATGTGATTGTAGCTGACTGAAGGCGTACAGATCTGGGACCTGTCGCTGCACAGGCGCTTCAGGATCGGGCCTCGTCATCCCGAACAAGCGTGATTCTTGAGTCATGTAGCATGCACACAGCGTCGACTTGCAGGGAGCTCCGGCGCCGTGATGACATGGATTTCCAAAGCACCGAAAGCTGAATCCACCTCAGCTCATGCTCACCTGAGTCAGGTGAGGCTCACCTACGCGCTCACTAGAGAACTCAAGGTGGCAGGCAGACAGCGCCTGCCTGTACAATCACGGGTCCAGCTCTAACATCCCGCACCGTGAGCAAGCTGTCAGCCCAAAGATCGTGAATGCGTGGAGCAAAAGATGCCCCCATTGCAGGGAAGGGGAGGCACTGCCAGGGAGTTTGTTCGGAACCACATCTCTCGCTGCTGCAGAAAATGACGTCGACGACTCGTTTGCAAGCCGCCGAAGTTAAGGTCCGCTCTGGGTTAGTGAGTCGACTTTCAGAGAACAGTGTGCTGACAGAGATCGGCTGGCATAAGTCGCACGTTCCTGTGAACGAAAGAGCCAGCGTAGGCGCTTTATGCCCGCTTTCGGCGGCTGGCACCGTCAGGCCTCGCCAGGACATAGAATTGTGGTGTTCTTGTGTCAGAGGAAGCCGTCTCTGCAGGCTATTTGCTTCAGCAGCAGTTTCAACAAACCATGGGCGTCATGGGACTCACAGACGACCATTTTCTCGTCGATCGGATGTTCCAGGTGTCAGGTGCCAAGCCAGAGCAGTCTAGAGCTTTGCAAATCTTTAAAGTCTTCTTCGCAAGCAGCATCAATGTCTTGCCTCAGGTTCGACACTGATCACGACGGCAAGCTGAGTTTTATAGAGTTTGCCTCTGCGCCAGGAGCCAGGAATGAATGTCATACCAGCTCCCTTCGCATAGAGTCGTGTTGTGCTTTGTTACCAAGGCTTGCCATTATGATCCGTGGCACCGAGGACGTTGCCAAGCTCAGGCATTCCGGGGCCTGTTCCCGATGGGTTTTTTCTTGAGGATGAGAAGCTCGCGTTCAGCTTCAAGATCGTGGGCGGCAAAGAGGTGAATGTTCGGACTGTTAAAGGGCTTGACTCGACTTGGACGGTGACTGGCATGCAGCAGGCATCCGGCGTGCGGCTGGAGGACTTCCAACAACTGGTTCTGTCCTTGGTGACAAGTGTGCTAGACATGGTGCGAGTGGGATGTGGCAAGGTGGCGTCCTACAACCGGATGATGTCCAGCCCTGGGAAAGGTTCAGCACCAGATGCATTGTGCATGGTGTGAATTGCTCGGAGAGGGACAGAGAGGGAGGGAGAGCCGACGTGAGCGCATGCTGGGAGCCCGGCTGCTGCCAGCCTATCGAGAGAAGAAAAGACGAACTTTGCACGGTGGTTGAAAGAGGTTTCGCATTTTCCATGATGCCCTCAAAACAGATGCAGGAAGGAGACGAAGGGCAAAAGAGGAAAAGTAACGGATAAGATGGGATCCTGCCTCCCTTCAAGCACGACGATTCAGCAAGCTGGCCCAGCGAGAGTTCACCACGTGGTTCTGCTTCCTTGATTTGTTGGTGGGGCTCATCAGTGTACTTCCAGCTCAGTCTCGCAATGGCGGCAAGAAACAACTTCACGAGCTGCATGCGCATCAGGCCTCTTGTTTGCCTTGCATATCCTTTTTGCTCGCTTCGCACCAACCACCTCAGGGTCACAGGAAAGCCTTAAGATGCCGTTGACTGCTGCCCCTATGCCAGGGTTAGATCCAAACCTTCAAATCACTCAACGCACCCTTAACCCCCAAACCTAGAAACCTTACCCCCCCCTTGCAACCGCACCCCTAAAGCCCTGAGCCAAAAAAACCTTAAGGCGAATCCTGAAAATTGAGCCACACCCACCCTGACCCGGCCTGCAAGGAAAGGATGGCGTGGGCGGAAGTGGCGGGGGGGGGGGGGGGGGAGTGGCGGCATATGGAGGGACACAAACACCAGCGGGCTCACTGGACGGGGTTTTGTGATAACCTCTGCTACCTCGGCCGGAGCAGAGGCGAATTACTTCGTTCTGCTGAGGACGAGTACGACAAAGCTGCCAGTAGACGAGCAACCGGCTGAGGTCATCACTCGTGGCACCGACCGGGTTCAGGCCTCAGGCAAATCCGTGCAGGTTCTGCCTGTTTTGCACTACATCAAGCGCCATGTATCACCCCAAACCGACGAGCAATAAAGACGGCCCTTGCTGCGCAAATTTCCTGAAGGATTGCTGAAGGATTCTACACGCTTGTTTCGCGGGAGTCATCCAGCCAACTTTTCGCTATTCGCCATCGGCGATGATGGTACACATCAGGATCAACTGTGGACCAGGAACAGGACAACAAAGAAGGATACGTAGAGATCAAGCTGCGCTTTGTTTGCGGACTTGTGTCAGGCGAGGCAGGCTGTGTCAGCATGAGATCTTGAATCCCGTGCGCCTGCTTATGCGCGAGACAAGGCGGCTGACGTCCGATGAGGCTCCGAGCAGCCTCCCTTTGCTTCATCAGCTCAGCCGCTGCCCAGTTTCGACCTGCAGGATGTGAAGCGCTTGTTTCACGAGCTCGCATCGACCCGAGATGAAACCGAGGAGGCTGCCTGCAAATGCCCGAAGTCTCTGGAGATCTTTGGGCACAAACTCCCCATCCAGGAAGTCATCAGCTTGGATGCGTACAAGGCGGCTGCACAGGAGAATGGCGACTTCCTGTCATGCCTTGGGCTTGAGCGCGGGGCCAAGGTCCAAGTGCCTGCAATGGCTACAGTCCGATGTCAAACCAGCATGCCAATTCGTGACTGCAGCTGTTCATCATTGGATTTGCCCTGAGTGTAACAGGAGTGCAGAGACTCTGATGCTTGTTTTGCGCAGGCTTGAACAGCTCAAGGGCATAGCAGAGCATGGTCTTTTGATCATTCACAGAAGTATGTTTGCAGGCAGCCCTTGGCCATGTTTCCGCCGGCGGAGCCTGTAAAGCCTCCCAGCTTCCGTCGCTTGAGACGGAATGTGCCTGAATCAAGAGCTGCGGATCGTTGGAATGGGAATTGGTCAGGCAAGCGAACGCACTCCATTGAGGATGAATCCGGGTCTGCAAACTGCTTTGTGAGCTTGACACAGTGGACCGAGGCAGGAGAGGAGACCTTGGAGGACTTGGAAAACGGGGATGAGGAGGACGCGGAACAGGAATACGTGGACCATGGAAACGAGTACAGCGGCTCCAGCTGGAAAGCAGAGCAGACCAGTGAGGATGACAGTAGTGGTACTTGGAACTGGTCGGAGCACTGGAAGCAGGAAAGCCAAAACCGCGAAGAGCAGCGGCCGGAGAAGAAGCGCAGGAGAAGCTGGTCCGTGCATGAGGAGGACACAACTACGACCCATTGGTCCAACTGGCAAAAGGAGCAGCAGCAGGAACAGGAGCAAAGCTGGAGGAGAGACGACAAAAGTGAGTGGCATGGTCAGGATAATGAGCCAGGGAACTCGCGTGCACATGGCCAGGAGACATCTGAATTCTGGTCCCCTGAAGGCTATCAGCTGATATACATCTCCAAGGTACAGGCGAAACTGATGTTGACAATGCCTGGATTTACTAGCTATCATATTTCCCGTGTAATTGGGAAGAAGGGCAGTGTACTCAGGGACATGGGGCTCACAACAGGAACAAAGGTATTCCTCTGTGGACGTGAGTCGAACAGGCCAACTGACGAGGACAACCACCTCCTCGTCACTGGCAGAACCAGTGCCGATCTGGAGAGAGGCCTGCTGAAGGCTTGTGCGACGGTCGCAGAAGTTCTGAACACTGAGTTTCCAATTTGTACACATTGCGGAGGTGATCACAAAAGCAGGGACTGCCAAAAGATGCGACTGCCCTTTGTCCACGATATTTATCTTGAGCAATGCACGAACGTTGGCTTCATCATAGGGGCCCAGGGTCGAAATGTTCAGCCGATCGTAGATGCCACAGGAGCCAACATCAGAATGCTGGGTGTGGGTTCCGGAGAGTACAAGGCAATAGAGCCCCTGCATATGCGCATCGAGGCTGCGACCCAGCATCTGCTAGACCAGGCTGTCGCTATGGCAGAGGATTTGATCCGAAGGGTGACGCATTGGTCACCCTATGACAAGGATCCACCCCCGGGGAAGGTGTTTGAGTACCAGCACAAGATTTGGTTGGACATGGAAGCCGACAGGCAAGGCTATGACAGCCTGAATGCCCACCTTCTCGGCAAGGGTGGTCAGAACTTTCGTCAGATTCATGAAAGAACAGGTGCCTGGCTTTGGCTGCGCGGGCATGGTGCCGGTCACACTTCGTGCCTGGACCCGATTGCCAAGAAGGAAGGCCTCCACCTCCTCATCGAGCACGATGATAAGGAGAGGGCCCATCAGGCTGTTGAGATGGCCACGGCGCTGCTGGACACCGTCTTGGCAAGACTTGGCTCGACCTACTGCAACATCTGCGGTGGCCCGCACTTTACGTATCGATGTCTGAAGGCGAACAGCACGGGGTACTTGAACGAGATGGCAGCCAAGGGGGCCAAGGGATCAGGAAAAGCACGACACCGGAGCGTGTCCTGAACGAAAACTGAAACGCAGCTTCCAGGCGAACACTCCAGATGAATAGCTGTAAGGATGCTGAGCTTAAATGCGGCACCTCCTGGAGATAGTGCGAGCCATCAGCAGTCAGTCCCGAAGAGCGACTCCTCGACGGTCAGCCACGCCAGAGAGCTTGCAAAAGTGTCGGGTGTGATGCATGAGCCCCTCTTCCCCATGTGTCAGGATTCTGTTGGCGACGTCTCGCGGAATGTTTCTTGTTTTGACCAGGCCTATGGGTGGCCGAGCTGTGGCCAAGAAGCCACAGAAGTACGGTTCTTAGGAGAACTGGCAAGGTGTTGTTCAATCTCAATCCCAATCGAAGTGGCAACTGACCAGGCCAGCTCCAGTTCCCGAGGCACAGGCCGGAGTGCCAGCTTTTTCGCTGAGGTTGACATAGCGAGCCCGAGAGCGAGAGAGAGAGAGAGAGAGAGAGAGAGAGTTTTCTTGGTACGCGTGGTACGTGTAACCTCTCCCCGGGGGCCCTATGGGCCGGGGAGCCTCGCACGCTCCCTTGACCTGAAGCAAGACGGAAGAGTTTTCTTACTAAGCAAGCAAGCAAGAGTTTCCTTATGTCGGTACGTCAAGTCGAGCTAGCAGTGGTACGCAGTGTCGACTTTTAACGCAAGCCCTGGGGTCAAACCCCTTCACCATAGCCCTGGCGAAAGAAAGAGAAGCGCTTGCAGCAGAAGACGAAAAAGAGAGAGCGTTCTGGCAGCGCACTCGGACAAGAGCTAGAGCAGCGCATCAACTCGTTGTAAGTGGGGGGGCGGGCGGTTCCAGCAAAGAGATTGGTGCACGCAGTCGGGGGGTGGAAGGGCGGGCCTGTGGCCTGAGGTTCGCCTGGACGACCCCTATGCCCAAGAAAGAGGGGCTCGAAAACTGCAGATAAGGGAGCCCTTGATGGAGGTGGGCCAACCGAGCCCGAAGGGGCGGGAACCCTTGGGCATCCCTAGTTCCGGCGGCGCAAATTCTGTGAAACCTTTGTTACATGGACTTGAAGAGTAACCAATTTTAAGCTTTTTGTTCGAGAGCGGAAAACCCCAAGACGCACGTAGAAGAGTTTGACCAGGGCACAGGGGCAACCTCGTTGAGCGGAAGGAAGGCTTGGTCCTGTACATGGCACAAACATGTGACTCATGCCGCAGGCTGAGAGCCTCCAAACTACGAAGTTGGAGAGAGAGGGTTTTACACACAGACACACGTGCGCAGAGGTACATCTCATCTCTGGTATGGGTGGCATGTAGAGACCTATTAAACAGAGCAGTAGTAAGCACCCATGCTTGATGTAGTAACTGTTAAATTTTGCATTCGGCAGCTGCAATCGAGGCACCTTCTGCCGAAGGAGTGTATGTTCCACGACAGCATCTTGAGGAGCAAATGCCGCGAAGCCGCTTAGCCCCGTGACCAAGACTCGCTGCAGTTACGGATCGTAGCATTTCGGTTGACGTGCCAGTGTCCGTCTGCGTGCCCTGCACACCGCAAGCAAAGCAGGAGCTTCAGCGACGTGTGCTCACGCTGCAGAAAGCTTGGGACCTCAGACAAGACCACCTGCCACGAGCCATTTCATGGCATGGGCAGCAGCATGCGCATGGTTGTTTGTTGCTGGCTCGCCGCCCTAGACGACCAGGTGTGGGTGTTAGAATTCGCTAGCGGCTTTCCCGCATGCACAAGCGGATCGGCGATAGTTGAGGGATCGCCAAGATGCTGGGTAGAAGGTGCCATCAGCCCAGACAGTGGTTGTGACAAAGCTCGACAGCTGTCTAAGGCATAGTCCATCCCGCAAGTTCCCACCCTGAGCTCCAGCATGTGCATCCTGAAGCTTCAGCCAAACAACCACGGCCAATGCTGTCAAGATCTGATCGAGAGATTCCGAGCCATGGTCTCGCAGTCGCCCTTCGCAATTCTGGGGCTCCAGGCCCGATTGCAGACGTTGTGCAGAGACGCTCCGGCGCTGCCCTGCTGTCGCACCGGTGCTGTTGTAGCAGTAGTCGTCGTCGCAGCAGTAGTAGTGGTAGTGGCAGTGATAGTAGTAGTTAGTAGACGTAGCAGCGGAAATAGCAGCAGTAAGCTGGCAGTAACAGCAATAGTTGCAGTAGCAGGAGCAGTAGCAGTAGCAGTAGTATATAGCAGCAGTAGTAGCAGTGGCAGTAGTCGCACTAGCAGTAGTCGCACTAGCAGTAGTAGTAGCAGTAGCAGTAGCACTAGCTTGCAGCACGTAGCAGTAGCAAGTAGTCGTAGTAGTCGTCGTCGTAGTAGTAGTGGAAGTAGTAGTAGTAGTAGTAGTAGTAGTAGTTTTTTTACGGAAGAGCAGGAGAGTAGTAGCCGTGGTTGGCGTCGTCGTCGTTGTTGTCTTGTATTGTAGTACGTCAGTAAGCAGTAAGTTGTAAGCCGCAAGTGGTAAGTAGTAAGTAGGAGTTGTGGTAGCATAAGTAGTGCACAAGCAGCAAGTCAGTAAGTAGTATGTTGTAAGTAGTAGATGGTGGTAAGTAGGAGCAGTAGGAGTAGTAGCGATGGTTAATATGATAACAAAAATGATGGTTATAGTATTTGTCATCATGTTGGTAAGCCAAAGCAGGGTACTTTGGATTGGTTACTGTTGTTACGATCACACGCATCATTGCTGTCAGGGTTGTTGTTCCCAATACTTCAGTATCTTGTTGCGATGATGATACTAATGATTCCCATGGAGAGTTACAAAAATTATTGGTAGCTCATTATGACGTGGATGGTCATCACTGATATTGCAACATGTCGCCACCTCGTGCGGCAGGATCTGGATGCGCCAGCTTCGGCGGTCGAAAGCGCGTTTCGTCGCCGCAGCTTAGATTGCCACCCGGACACCGGCAATGAGAGCAAGTTCGAGAAGTGACGGTCTGGAGGGTTAGTTTTTTCTCGTGGATTCCGGCTTGATTGTAGAGGACAAGCGGCCGGGCGACCCCACAGCCAAAGCAAAGTTCGAGGTCTGGCTGTGTCGTGTGGTCACTCTTTTGTTGCTTCGCTTGCCATGAGCGTTTCAGGAAACAGTTAATGATGCCACGAGGTGATATGCAGAGCTTGCAGATGTAGGTTGTGTTTTCTGGGCCATTCTTACAAGGCATTGGCCGCTGCGAAGGAGTCGGGTGCAGTGGCCTTTTTGCTCTTGTGCTGGAGATCGAATTCCGGAGACGAGGAGACACTCCTTGATCCAGACAAGAGAGCTGCTGCAATCTCGGAGGTGAAGCTCTCGCAGGGGCAGGCACGGTGAAGCTACCGCCTCTTCGGCCCGCCCGGGAGCCTTCGCCAGGCTTTCCTGCGACCGCGTCGTGCTGCAGGCACCCTTTGCCGAGCATTTAACCGCAGCACTCAAAAGGCTTTTTCCCCGAGGTCCTCCTCGAGCTGGAGCTGCAGCCAAGAAACCAGCGGCTCCGCCCGCAGCAGCGAAGCCAGATCCTCCGGCAAAGTCCGGGTTCGTTCCGCCATCTCAGCGTGAGGCCCATGCACCTGTGCTTTGCTACGGTACGGAAGACAGATCGTGCAGTGCACCAGGAGCCAACACCCAGAGCTTCGGTACCCGACCCAGAGTGCCTTGGCTCTCTTGCGCTACGTGCACGTTGCTCTCCTGTGCTTTCAGCTGCGACTGCGATTCAACATGAGGAAGGCTGCTGCAGGGATCTTTTTCAGACATCTCGAGCGGCAGCGCGAGAAGAAGGCAGGTGCCATGTGATATCCTTCGATTCATAAGTGGGCGAGCCAACCATGGTTTGTGCAGGAGCCACGACGAGATTTTCTTCTCCCCCACGGGCCATTCCTCAAAACAGTTGGGGAGGACGGGCGGAAAACACCTCCTGCTTCAAGTCAGCAAGCACGCCGAACAGGCCAGGGCGACAAAGAAGCGTCCTGTTCAGCGTGCCGCGAGGCAAACGACACACTTGCCTTATCTTGGTCAGTCGTTTCTGTTAGCCTTTCTTCGGTTGCAGGGAGTCGGCTCCAAAGGACCGGTCTGGGCTCCGTGACGGCGCGGGCATCTCCGGCAAGGCTCCGACGGTGGCCAGATGTGGAAGACTGCATAGCAATGCAAAGCTGTGCAAAGCGGTGCAGGTTAAGCGACTTGCTGAAGCGGTGCACGTACAGCCCGCTCCGCCGTGGGTTGGCGGAGGCCTGCCTCGGCAAGTACGTCTTCTTGTTGAAATGAGTTGTGACGATTTGGATCAGGTGAAGGAGCCCAAAGTCATAGGGTGCCGGTCATTGCACCTACACAGGAGGCTTGATTGTGGGTAGGAGTATTTTTGCAAGGCTTGCGTTTCGTGCCACCAGGTGCCGGAACCTGCGCCTTCACCACCGGAGTGCAGAAAGGATGATGCAACAAGCACCCCGACCTGCCCTCGAGCCGCTCCAGCACCACAAGGCAAGAAGAAGAAGGACATCCCTGCAGCACGCTGCCTTCCGTTGCCTCTGCTCCTGCCAGCAACGGCAGACATTGGGGCACTGACCACAGCCGTCGGGCGGGCGACTGGCGCCAAAGCCTCCGATGCCGGAGTGCTCGCACGGGTCGTGTCAGTCCTTCGCAGATCTGGTGGCGAGGCATCCCTCGCGTCGCTAACGCAAAATCCGAAGCGACTGAAACGGATCTTGTCTCGGTACCCTCGGCTCATCGATGTGCAACTTGGCGGCCAGAGCTGTGTACATGCTAATTTCCGGTACGTCTGGGTGCAAGTCCACACGGAAGTGCAGGTATTTTCCCGGCAAGTTCAATGCCACTCAGACTTTGGAGGCATATGTCTGCGGGAGATCATACAATTTCTCTGTATGTGTGTCCGGGCCAGTGGCAACAGTCGTGCGGAGCAGGCTCGAACAGGTTGCATGGAATCCTCCCTTCCAGGTTCAAGTGCAAAACCACGCAAAGCTTTAAACCTTTACAAGCAGGGTTTGAAGGGCTGGGTCTCGACTCGTGAATGCCAAGCAGAGATGACACCGCCGGATGCGCGATACATGTAGATGCACACAAATCGTTCTCTGTTTTCGGTCTTGGCTTTCGCATCGCGGAGGTCCATGCTCGGCTACGGGGAGCGGAGCTACAGAGGGCGAAAGAGGAAGAGCAAGAACGACTACGGAAGTCTGAGCGCTGGCAAACCATGGAGGCATTGCTTACGATGCATGGCATCATATGTGACCCCGGTGCTTCCATGCCATCCTTCCGATAGGCCGAGCCCATCAATCCTTTCGCACCTTCGGCGGGTCGATTCCAACCAGGATCTGCTGCTGAATGTTGTATCAGCCACCAGCTCTGCATACTATGTGAAATTCGTGGCGAGGAGCCCGTTTGGCTCTGAAGATGCGCCTCGCCAGGACCAGGCTGTGCAGAACGAGGGGAGGCTTGCCGACCATGGAATGTCCCGAGTGCCAGGCCGCTGGGCCAGCCTGTGCGACGGACTGGCAAAAAACAGCCACGCGTCGTTGACGTGGCCCGCAACTTAGGCGACTGCAGTTTCCATGGCTGCCGGGCCAAAGTCTGCTCGGCGAATGAGCTTCAATTTAAACTTTCACGCAGTCGTAGTTTGCTTCGTGCTCATGAGGATTCCTCCGACGAGGGCTCGTGCCTGGTCATGCCGCCACCACCTCCAAGAGACTTGGCTGACCTGGCAGATGTCTGCAGACGACGCGCAAGTTGTCTCTGGCAGTTCTGGGCTGAACAGGTGCGCAACCGGGCTCGCGACCGGGCTCTGGCGGCGAGCAACAGGACACTGGTTTGACTTGTGCAGAGGCCTTCGTATGCATGCGGCCATCTCGCCGATGTTATTCATTTGCGGACCAGTGTATCTTGTCGAGGCGAATGCGAGTGACAATGCGCTTCTGCATGCGTACGCTCATGCAGTGGGAAAATGGAAGGCCCTGTGCTTAGTTATGCTGTCACGGGAGCTCGATGCCTATTGCCGACTCGGTTTGGCTTCTATCTTAGGCTTCGATTGACTCGGTGGGGTCTGCTGTGCGACGCCGCGGACTGAGAAGGTCGGGCAGGCGGAAGTACATGCAGTTGGAACATTAGGCAGCAGGCACAGCCAGGGCAGCGCAGGCATGCAGTTTTGTTTTGAGAGTGGACGAGCAGCCGGGGCTGGTGATCGGGGAGTCAATTCGCTGTGCCTGGTTTCAAAGTGCCGGCATAAAGTGTTTGAGAAGAGGAGGGAGGAGGGGCAGGGGAAGAGAAAGCCCTACACATAGCGCCACCTGCTGCAAACGAGGACAAATTTCTAGGCTTCGGAGTCTACTGTAATGTGTCCAGCAAGTGGCGCATGCCGATGTGGTTCCAAGACCTCCGACGATAATACCATCGTCGGTGCTTGCCTTTGAGGCTACTTCCTGCTTCTTCCTGCCGGTGGTTTGGGGCTACTGCGGCCGGGACACCCTTCCTTGCTGTACTCCTTCGACGTTGCATCGAAGGTGCGACTCTCCAGCTTACCGATTGCGATCACGCATCAGGTTATAAGCGTTGCAACACGACATTCATTCCTGCACAGGTGTTGTATGAGTATGTCCCGGCAGAAGAGCGATGTGTGGTCATGTGGTCTCCATCTTGTCCTGAAGTGAGTCACAGCTGCATGTGCGACGGCGTGCGAATGTTGTCATGACGGCATGATTGCGGGTAAGAGGTCCCCTCCACTGCATATCACTGCATGGCAGGCGCAGGCCCACAGCACCATGCCACTATGCCAAGGAACGCCGCTCTTTGGACTGTTTTGCCTCTGCCACCGGAAGCGCCCGCTCAAGAGGCATGAGGGGATGGGTCTAGTCCGAAACGCTCTTCGGCGGGCTCGGCCGTTTCGAGTCCAGTGAGCCCCATGTCAGGCGCCTTCGACACCCGAGGCGCCCCCGGAGGAGGAGGAGGACGTTGGTTGGCCTTAGTCGCCTTAGTCGCCTTAGTCTTTGCGCTCATGCGACTCCGCCTCTTTCTTGGCATTGGGAGTTGCTCTCCTTTACCTCCAGTTGCATTAGTTGTTGGTCAGGACTCTGACAGCGACGATGTGGACATCGTGGCTTCGCCAGCATGTGCTTAGTTTCAGAATGCTTCAGATCTGCACTTCTCCAGCGTGCCGAGGACCGCTTGATATGCGATGCTGCTGCTGAAGCTGGGGTTCAACTGAATGGAGAGCCTTGCAGTGAAAGCGCATCGTTCGACGTGGAAAACGATTCGAGCCTCTCTTCCTGCAGTGCCTGCTCGAAAGCTACACCGACAGGCATGTAAATCCTATGCAAACAGCAGCCCCACAGCATTCGAGGCGCTGGCTACTGAGCAGAGGAGTCTTTGTTGTCACAGTTTTCACCCCCCCCTCTAAGAAGTGGCAAGTCTCTGCGGGCTTGGTGGCTTGTGGCAGGAAAAGTTTCCTGGGGAGGTTGGGGCCTTGCGCCTTGCGTGTCAGTGCCTTCTCTTTTGAGTGTTGCTCCCGCTCGAGGTTGCCAGCTGATCCGCCGTCACCGGTGCCGGAAGAACCGGCCAGATTCTCGGGCTGGCCCAACCCGAGCTTGGATTTTGCAAGCGCCGCCGCGCACAAAACCGCCTGCCTGAGCTGAGGCACAGGAAGACAGCTACCCCTGGTGGATGCCCACTTGCCGGGGACTAAACGGAGATCCTCCGCACTTGCAGCGCCACTCCTTCTTGTGCACTCCCCCCAAGGTGGCTGCACGCCCATGACAAGACTAACGCAGTTGCCTTGCGAGGCAGTTTCTTGGTTTTCGCTCTTGCTGATTTGTGCAACAGTGCTTTTGCAGGCACGGGGTGAGATCCTCGACTGTGAGCCCGCAGCACCAACGGCAGCCATGGCAGCCACAAGCGAAGCTCACACTGGCCTGGCAGATTTCTCCGATGTCCCGGCCTCGGGATTTACACGTAGGATGCACTGCACTTGGCAGCTTGAGGTCGTTAAAGCACGCATGGGCACCTCTGCATGCAACCCCACGCACAGGCGCAGGAGGATCTCTATCATGAGCTGTGCACTCGGACATGGTAAGAGTTCGGGCATCGACAACTCTGCTTTTCTACATGTGTGCCCAGGGTCAATGCCCTGATGCGGCTGTGCGCCAAGTGGACAGACTCGGATCGTGGACTCCATGTGGAATCCGTCGGCCCCGCTGAGATTACGAGTGACAGAAGAGCGGCTGCTCACTGGCACCCCTTCGGCATGAGATGTTGCCAGGTTGCGCCAGATCCCTTCATGCCTCAAGTGCTCCAAGAAGAGCTCAGGCCCTGTGGCTCTGGCCTTGCAAGCCCCAGGGCCCCAGAGTGCCTGCGCGCCAGGACCTACAGTCGACAAAGGCATTTCTCAAGAGATGTATCTCGAGAGTCAGAGGACAGCAGGCAGTGGCGCGTGCTTGTAGACCGGTGCCAAAACAAGCTTGACCAGCGTGGACACGCTGCAGGGCCTTTGCCAACCAGATGCCGCAATCGCCACAGAAGACCTCGAAGCACTCCGACCCAGCTGCCACTGCGTGCTTCTTGAACCGCTGTTCTTGCTGTGCTTGTCGATGTTGTCCAGGAAATCTGCGGGAGTCCATGTGGCTGTCACTGCTGCATCTCGGGAGAGCGATGGTCAGGCAATGTGTGGCGATGGGCATATGAGACGGGAATTCCCTACCCTAGAGTCCTTAGAGATGTTCCCTGGTGCAGGGACCTGCCATCCAGGGAGGACGACATCGAGCGTGGCTCTCAGACGATCGGGGTCTGAAAGGTGCTTCTGCAGTGCATGAGTGAAGCACTGACAAAGCACACTAAGCGATCCACTTGATGAAGGCGCTCAGTGTTTCTTCGAGCCGTCAGCGCAGGCATGCGTGAGCTTGCGATAGCTGTTGTGATTCTGATGTACGCTCATTAACACGATTTACTTGGTTTCGCTGCTGTGCCAAAGATGCAGCCATCACACGTGCTGTGCCATCCCTTGCCGACTTCGGTTTGGGCATAACTTGATTCTGCCGAGCCACATGCAGCGACAGCCCTACCTGTTCTGTGCTTCCGCAGGTTTGTGGCGGTTGAGGGCTTGAGGTTCATGTGTTCCCCGACAGGTTTTGATTGCCTGCGGTTGAGACTTTCAGGTTAACATGCTGTGAGTATATGATGAGGGTTGAGAGCTTTGCTTTTTTTCTGCGGGCTCCAATGCCGAAGGTCAGGTTGACAGTAAGGTTATCTCGGACTATGCCTGACTATGCACAGCACATAGAGTGCATCGATGATGTTCTTCGACGGATCTGCTCGACCTTAATTTTTCCGCTGGCGCGAGAGCCGCTTCGGAGCGGGCCCCGAGAATCCACTATGCTTGTCCGCAGCTGTTTCATGTTGCGTTCCGGGGCGTCCACCATGGCAGGTGCTGTTGATAAACTCGTTGTGGTTTTTGCTAGGATCATGATTATGCATTCGACGTGACTGTGGGTGGGCCCGGGGGGGGGGGGGGGGGANNCCGGGGGGGGGGGGGGTGGAAGGGGGGCAAAGATCGGTACCTGCGTGATCCAAGCCCAGACTCCTGGGCGGACCCGCGACAAAACTGTTAAAAGATGAAAGGTCTTCCTACCGAACCCTTCAAAATTCGAGCCGATCTGTGCATGGTGACATGGAACCTGACCAAGATGCCCCGGTCTTCGGCCTCGGCAATCTGAGTGGCCGCTTGAAAATATCATTCCATGCCGCTTGAAGGCATCATCGGCTATTGGGGCCGAAGAAGGGCCTTGCTGCTTGCGCCTCGAGAGGGAACTTTGTAGCAGTTCTTGGAGGAATGTGCTTCACGCCTGAGGTGCACTTCGGCCACGAAAACTGGAACATGGTGCTGGTCCAAGCTGCTGCAAGCACGGAAGAGTGGAAGAGCTTATGAGGCAAGCTTTCAGCACCGCGAGTCCAGTGCAGGTGCTCAGCATGATGATTGGCATCCGAATGTCTGTGGGACGTTCCGGGCATGCCATCCCTGTTTTTCTCTTGCGGGTTACTTGTAGCCTAAAGTCTTGTCAGTTTCTGTTGCAGCAGAGCGTTTGCAGCTAAAGTTCCTTGGACACATTGTCATTGTGCCCTAGTCGCGCAGCAGGCAAGAGCTGCACAGAGAGCTGCAGCCTGTGGACTTTATCATGAAGGACCCGCTTTCGCTCATCGTCGCTAGGTACCGTGGGCCGCCGCAATGCCATGTCACAGCCATGCAGTAGCAATCATGTGGGCAGCAAGCACGGTTCAACAAGAAGACAACTCAAATCCTCTTCTGCTGTTGGTGGCAGTGGCGATGTCTGACCCCATGCAATATCGATGCCAATGCTTCGTGGTCATGCTTTGGCTACAGAGCGGTTCGTAGGCATGTGTGCGCATGTGGGGTCTTGGGTAGCAGCAATCGTCTTCGAACCAGAGCCGCTCTGACCTACAGTGTGTTCAATTTGTCCCAACCAAGCAAGCAGACACACGTGTCATGGGATGTTGCAGATCGCATTGCGGCAGCGTTGTCAGCTTGCCCTAATTGGGCTGGGCGATGACCCTATACCAAGCTTAGCAGCTGACCTTCAGGGTTTCCGCTCCCTTAGTGTTGGCCCCTTGGCCTCTTCCTGCTGGTACTCGGGCGCTGAGAGCGCGAGCCTTCGAGCTTCTTCTGTCCTTTGGGTGCCCTGTGAGAGAGAAGTGTGCAGCTTGAGGTTAATCCGCCAGAGGAGCGGAGGTGCTGCTGTTGGTGCCCTTAGGATGCCTGCTTCTGGGCAGCATCTTCAGTTATCTGTTGCTCTTATCTTATCCGAGCAGTCAGAACATACAGCAGGGATCACCTGCTCAACGGAAAAGCCTTGATTCGACTCATGAGCTCCTTTGCTGGTTCCAGCAGACGGGTCGGTGGCATCGCTTGAGTGAACCGTTGTTGATCCTTGAGATGTTGTGCCAGCACTGCCTCTTGGACCAAGGATGAGGACTTTGACCCCTGGGCAACTGCAGTGGCAGACGGAACATCTTCTGCCCTGAAGAAGGCGTCGAAGAAGAAGATGCTCGGCCTGATGGCATGTTTCGATTGCTTCAGTTTCCCACACCTACACCTGCAAGCCTTGGAACTTGAAAACTTTGGTCCCGGCTAGAGTTTATCGGGCATAGGCTGACCGTGCATGTCTGTGAGTGTGTGTGTGTGTCGTGTGTGCATGCCGCGATGTACCTGGACCTAAACATGTTGACGAGTCTGCATGTGTGTTTCTCCACCAGCTAGGGGGGTTTCGCAGTTCACTGGTACCTTAGGCAGAGGTGCCTGTAGTCTTACTATTTGGGGATCTAGCTTCGGGTCAGGGTTGCCCGTCCGTCCCTTTCCAGGGATGTCTGGGGCAGCTTCCGGGCGGGTGAAGCCGAAGCGCTCAGCGACTCAGAGGCTCCCAAGCCGGGAAAGCAAGGCACCCGGGTCTGCATTGACATCCAATACTTGAGGCTTTAGGGTTTAAGGGTTCGTTCAAAAGGACTCTCTCTCTCTCTCTCTCTCTCTCTTCTCAGAACATGCTGGAGACACTGCGAAAGGAGAGGTGTCCAGCCAAATTGGAGTCTCCTTCATTACTTCTCGCCTACTCCATTGCGATGCCGCGGGTAAGGTCATCTTGCCCCGAAATGAACACATCCAAGCACTCTTACTGCAGCAAATGAGCTTCAAGCCACACATCTTGGGCCTTTCGAAGTGAATG